GAAGTCGCGTGACCCCGGAAGTAGCCGTCCGGGCGGCGGGMGGCCGACGACGTTCGTCATTTGCTGCGGGAGGGAGCGCTAGCGCGGCGGTCGAGCCTCCGGTGAGTGGCCGGCGGCGCGCGGCGCGGCGAGGGGAGGGGCTGCCTTTGTGCCGCCGCCTGGCCCGCGCAGAGCCTCKCGGGCGGCGGCAGTGCGGCGGCGGCGGCCTCCCGGCGGGCGGGGCGGGCCGGGGGCGCTGCGCAGGCCCCGCATGTGCGGGCGCCTCTCTTCGAGCCGCGGCGCGGAGGCTGGGGTGGGGGCGCCCCCAGGGCTGCACGCCGGGCCTCCGGGGTGGGCGCCTGCCGCCTGCTCCGGACGCCAGGCCGCGCCCCGCCCCGCCCCTCCCCTCCCGGCCCGGATTGCAAGCCCTGCGGAAGCGCGGGCCGCGCCCAGGGATGCTATCGCCTGCGGCCACGTTGGGGCGGCGTCCGGCAGCGCGCTTGCGGGAAGCGGTGGCGTGGGTGGGCTCACGGGCCACCCCCGCCTCGCGAGTCCCCACGGCCCTATATTCCCGCGTTTAGGCCCCTCCCTGGGCCCGAGGAGGGAGGCGCTGGCCGCGCCCGGCGGGCTGCGCCCCGACCCCTCCGTACCACCTCGGAGATTGCCGAGTGGCATTCCGGATGTTCTTAGAGCCCCTGGGGGCTGATCGGTGCCCAGGCCGAAGGAGGCTCGTCTGCGACAGCGCTGTCGCTGCTTGGTTGGCGCCGCCCTAGGCGGCTGCTCCACTTGTCCGAGGGTCTTGAGAAGACCGATCCTGCAGCAGTCCCAAGTTGTAGCCACGAATGGGGACGACCTCGTGCCTCTTGGGGCCTGTGAGATCCGGAGGGCCCGGACATCCGAGCTGTAGCACAGCACATGTCTGCCTGCACGTGGCTCCGACAGGGAGCTTCCCTCTTCAGGGCTCTCAGCCCCAGGGCTCAGTAGGGATCCCTTGGGTGAGGGCCTGGAACTTAGAGGCACAGCAGACAGTAGGGGTTTAGTGTTGGCCCTCCAGTTTGGGTCTGGATTCGGTGCCTCTGCTGGGGAAGGAAAGATGTGCCTTTATCTCCCCGAGGAGCAGGCTGCGTTCCCATTTAGTCTCCTACTTGGAGTGGGGTCCTTTCAGAATGCCCACCCACCCCCCGAGGCCAGAGGGGCAGGTGGCTGGTGAGTCTGAGGGAGCTGCCCCTGCTATTCAGACTCACCAGCCACCCCTTCTTGTCCTGCTTCCTGCACTCTCAGGCCTGGTACTGTCCAGGCTGTCATAATCCTGCCTACCCACAGGTGTCCCATACCCAATCTAGAGGTGAGCATGGCAGAACAGGAACCCACAGCCGAGCAGCTGGCCCAGATTGCAGCTGAGAATGAGGAAGACGAACACTCAGTGAACTACAAACCCCCGGCCCAGAAGAGCATCCAGGAGATCCAGGAGCTGGACAAGGATGATGAGAGCCTGCGCAAGTACAAGGAAGCCCTGCTGGGCCGCGTGGCTGTCTCTGCTGGTGAGTAGCCCTTTGGAGTAGRGACAGAGTGGGGGCCCATCAGAGCAGCAGCTCTCCTGCGAGGACACCTGTCACTCTGCTTAAGCCTCTGCTCCACTCCACTGCCTGTCTGTCTGCTGAAGGAGGAAGACCTAGTGGGTGGGAGTGGGGCTCCAACTTGCTGTCTTTCCCCAGACCCCAATGTCCCCAACGTCATCGTGACTCGCCTGACCCTGGTGTGTAGCACTGCGCCAGGCCCCCTGGAGCTGGACCTGACAGGTGAGAGGGGGAAGGGGACACTGAGGTCCCTGGGTGGGGCTGGCTGGCACCCTGCTGCTGCCCCTAAAAATAATTTCCTGTAGCACAGGGGCCCTCTGGTGGGACATGGAGGAAGTGCAGCGAGGTGCTATTGGAGGTTTTGCTTTGTGTTGGGGGGAGGAGATGGGAGGGGGTGGGGTGGGGGTGAGGGAGCTGGACAGTCAGCTGAGCCTCTTCCCAACACAGGTGATCTGGAGAGTTTCAAGAAACAGTCCTTTGTGCTGAAGGAGGGTGTGGAATATCGGATAAAAATTTCCTTCAGGGTAAGGCCAGGACTTGGGGAGGCACTGGGGGTGTATGGCTGGAGAACCTGGCTGACCTCACCCTGGGTTCCTACAGGTGAACAGAGAGATCGTGTCAGGCATGAAGTACATCCAGCACACATACAGGAAAGGTGTCAAGAGTGAGTAAGGGGCCAGGTGTGGTGGTGCTCAGCTATAATCTTGGTAACTCAGGAGGCAGGAGCAGGAGGATCACAAGTTTGAGGCCAGCCTCAGAAACTTAGCAAGGCCCTGCCTCAGAATATTTTTAAAAGATCTGGGGGTGTAGCTCAGTGCCCCTGGGATCAATCCCCAAGACTTGGTGGGGCATGTAAGAGTGGGCAGCTGTGGTCTTCCCCAGAGGGCCATTGGCACTGGTGACCGTACCCTTTCTTGTGTTCTGCAGTTGACAAAACTGACTACATGGTGGGGAGCTATGGACCCAGGGCAGAGGAGTATGAGTTCCTGACGCCCATGGAGGAAGCACCCAAGGGCATGCTGGCTCGGGGCAGTTACAACATCAAGTCCCGCTTTACAGATGACGACAAGACTGACCATCTGTCATGGGAGTGGAATCTCACCATTAAAAAGGAGTGGAAGGACTGAGCCCCTGCCAGGAGGCAGGCAGGGCAGACGGACAGACGGACGTGTCCCACCCCACTCCCCTCCCCATCCCAAACCAAAGTGCTGACAGGGCCCCTTCCCTGCCACCATCCCACCTGGCCCACAGGAAGCTCCTCAACCCTCCCTCTCCCACCCTCCCGCCTGCAGGCCCTTATGGTCTCTAGTGTCATGTTGCTGCTTCTGCCTGTGCAGGGGTGGGGGGGCATCCAGCCCAGGCTACTGCCCCCTGTGTCTTGCCAGGTTCTTTCTGCCCRTCCTACCCCAGATTCTGGCTTTTAGGGAGTGGAGCACTGTTCAGGTGCTCAGCCCACTTTGTCTCTGCCCAGTTGAACTGGGGTACCTAGTGCAAGCCCCTGCCAGCTGGCCTCTGCCCCACCACTCCCTGGCCACTTCATCCATTGCTGTCAGTCACCGTCTAACCATGATGCCTTAACATGTGGAACGTGTATTGGGGGKCCTTCACTAACTCTTAACTCCCCCTGTCTGCATGAGCATGTGGTCTCCCCTGTCCCTGCCCTGTTTGTGATCTTGGTGACCCGGGGAGGCCTGGGGTGTGCTGCTGCCCAGCCTGCCAGGGCCTAGGAAGCCCCTTCCCCTCTCTGGGCTAGGGTTTGAGGTGATGCCAGCAGCTTGGGGAGGGCCAAATTGCCAAACTCCATGCCTCCAGCCCCATCTGGGAGGCAGGTATGTTCACACCTCTGCCTTCTCTGATCCAGGAGGCATTGCTCAGAGCCCTTGAGGGATAAAGCCAGCGGCAGAGCCTTACTTGTCCCACCTGGGCCCTGTGGCCTGGAACCTTGTGCCTGGCCCGTCAGTATTTATTGCCTCCATTTGTGCCGTCCTCTGGGCTGGCTTGCCTGCTGCCTCTGCCCCGGCTCTCAGTGCCACCATCCTGGGCAGGCCCTCCTTGGACCCAGCCAGGACAAAAGYGGGACCAAGCGCACACAACTGTTGGGAGCTGTCTCCTGTGCCTCCCCTCCCTGTCCCCGTGTGGTGTCTGCCAGGCCCAGGCTTCTACAGGCAGAGGAGCCTGCCCTGCTTCTCTTCCGACCGGGAAATAAACACCCTTGAAGGAGACTGGATTTGCTGCTTGGGGTTGAGGAGATTGTGATGCTAGCAGGGAGGTGAAGCAGAGGCCCCCCTCGGGTAACAATCCCTTGTTAGGGGTTGAGGTCCACCATTCCCAACCCTGTGGGGACACAGCTGCTAACTCTGGTGAGAAACAGAATTCCCCTTCTATCACCAAGCACCATAAATCCAGAACCTCTAAGAAAGCTGACTGGTCCGCGGTCTGCCATGTATTTTGCTAACACAGTGGTAGCTTCCCCTCCATTATCCACTGAGGCCCCATGTGTTGTTCACATGGCACACACAGCCCAGGCATCTCAGGAAATGTTCRGTTCTGCTGAAGGGGAACACAAGAACCCCAGAGAGACTGTGTGTGCGCCTGCCAGGTGTGGGTGAGAGGCTGAGGCTGGTGCAGGATGTCACTCCCCCATTGTAGTCAGGGTCCTCTGAGATGGAAGGGCCAAGAGCCTACATGGGATTGAGGGCACCACCACACAGCAGGAGAGCTGCTGAGATACCCTGGAGGTTAACAGGCCTGCAGATTGGGAGCTTCCCACCTGCAGTGATCTCATTCCATGCACCTGTCCTGGACAGATAGGGGCAGACCAACCACCAGTGGCAGGAATCACTYCAGAAACTTCCCTTGGCCTGATGCCAGCTTTGAAACCTGTTCTCTGGGTCTGTGCTGCTCAAGAGAGGCAGATTCTTGCTTAGGCAGCTGCTGCCACAGAGCCATCTGACCCTGCCTCCGTGGACCCACATAAGTGTTGGTGCTGAGCAGTCAGGGATCCTTGCCAGGAGCTTGTTGCCAGTTAGTTCAGGAGATGCCCACTGAGACCCACCTCAGGCTGCTAGCCACCTTGGTCATCCTTGCTAGGCTCATGTGAGAGCCAGAACTGACCTGGAGCTGGCCCTCAGCAGGATGGCCTACCAACAGCAGGGAACTGTAGCAGCTGGCCCAGCCAGAAGGAAAGACCTTACCCAGTCTCAGAATGGGTTCTGGTCCAGCTGAGTTGACAGGAGGGGTGAGGCAGTGCCCTGAGGGTTCACCACCAGGCTGACCATCTAAGCTCAGAAGGAATGGGCGCCTAGGCAGCAGTCTTGGGCACTTGGGCTCACTCCTCTCCAGCTCCTCCTYAAAAGGTTCCATCTCATTGTCAGCAGTTGTTTATTGGGCAAGGACTTCTGAGGCTCACAACAGGCCAAGAGGCTTGATCTTTTTGCTCTGGGATTTTCCAAGCTTGTGAACTCAACAGGTGAACTCAGACCCTGAGTGCCAAGTTGTGCAGGCACATGGCCAACAGCCAAGACTTTGCTCTAGCTCCTGGGGGAGGATAACAAAGCTRCACTTGCAGAAGGTACATGACGTGTCTCTCCAGTCCCAAGTCTAACCTGATCCTCCTGGTCCCACCCTGACCTGTTGTACAGCTTGATGCTGCTCCAAGGCTAGCCTCCCAGCTCCACAACCCATGCCCTCTTCTCACCTCCCTTTATCCACAGGCCCCAGAAATCYCCAAGCTTCCACCTCCTCATCCGCAGACAGGCCCTTCTTCTGTGAAAAGGCCATAACTGGTGCCAGCTGAGGTCAGGATCTGGATGTGACCAAGCAATCGCCAGGTACTGATTTACCACCACTGCCCTGCTCTCTCCCGCACGCCTGTCTCAGAATTGGGCACAGAAGCCTAATACAGCAAAAACCTGCAGCCAGCAGCCCTCTAGGTGCCCATGAACTTGCTGGTCACCCCTTTACATATCYAGCAGGATAGCAGGCGCAGGCTAAAGGAAGCAGTGTTCTAAGAACGCTTGCTTTTTTTTTTTTGGTAGCGCTGGGGATCAAAACCAGGGCCTTGTGCATGCAAGTATGTTTGAGGCTGGGAATGTAACTCAGCTTAGTAGCAGAGTGCTTGCCCAGCATGTACAAGGCCCCTAATTCACTCACCAGTAACACACACACACACACACAAGCCAGGGAGGGGGTGTTGAACGTAGCTTTTTTCCCCTCAGTACTAGGAATTAAGCCCAGGAGCACTGACCACTCAGCTACCTCACAACCCTTCTGATTTTATTTTGAGATCAGGTCTCACTAGATTGCCCAGGCTGGCCTGGAACTTGCCATCACCTTCTTCAGGTTCCTAAGTCTCTGGGATTACAGGTGTGCACCACTGTATCCAGAGAGGGTAATATTAATCAAAACATGTTGACTCAGCAGGAAACCATGTTTAACAGGTAACATACTCTGAACATGACACTCCCTGGAAAATGTCCAGAAGCACCTATGATGGCCAGTCACTGCCCCAGGGAAGGCTGACCCCAAGGACACACTCCTTGAAGGCCTGAGCACAGGATGAGTGACCCATCTCATCAGCCCTCTGCTCTGGGCTGAGGCCCACAGGTATTTAGACAGGGTGGCCTATATCCAGGGAAGTTGAATGCACTGTGGATGCCCAGGGGTCTCTCAGGCCTCCTGCGGGGCTCATAAGAACCAACTTTGCTGTACCTGCTTAAGTTGGAGAAGGCTGATTCAGGAAGGACAAGGTACCAGCAACAGCTAGCTGCCAGGGTAGCCATGGCAGCATGATCACATGGGGGGGAGTGCTGCTGCGTGCCCTGATTTTCACAGAACATCAGCTTAGCCACAGTCACCTAAGCCACAGAACAGCAGCCCTGCCCTCTGCTACTCTGGCTGGGCAGTTCCCCAAACTGAAGTGTGTTCAACTGCCCTTGGCGCGAGCCACAGTAGGCCCAGAGCCAACCTTAGACTCTACCACAGCTACTTTGATCCTTGTCTGATCTGTGCACCTGCAGTGGCCTCTGCTTGCTTCTGGTGATGTAGATGTGCACATTTCTTCTTCATAGTTTATGTTCTGGAACTAAGATGCCTTCAAACCATCACGAGATAATCCACACAACCAGTAAATCCCTTCACTTCCGATCAGTGGACAAAATACTAACCTCCATAGTTAGGAAATCTAAACTCAAGTCTTTTGTCTTGGGCCCCAAATCTTGGTTTGTAAAACAAGTCAAGGCAAGCACAAAAATAGACCAGTTCATTTGATCTGAAGCAGTCATCATCCCACAGAGGCATTATGAAGAGCTGCAATTCAGTGGACAAGCACCTGGTCAATCCTGTTGAATTGGGGCGCGACACTGGTTCATAGTCCGCCAGGCCTGAAATGTCACACCTGGGAACCTGGGAAAGACCCATGCTGGCCTCCATCTGGCAATACGGGTTTCGGCTTCCAGAGTCGCAGCAGTTACAGGTATGAGCTACATGAAGGTAGAACTGAGTCTTGAAGGAAAGGAGCTCACACTCCAAGTGGAGTGCCACGCAGGAAAGGTGAGATGCACACTCTCAAGAACAAGTCTCTGGGGGCTGGTGATGTGGCTCAAGCGGTAGCGCGCTCCCCTGGCATGCCCTCGGCCTGGGTTCCATGCTCAGCGCCACATACAAAGATGTTGTGTCCGCCAAAAACTAAAAAATAAATATTAAACAAACAAAMAAACAAAAAAGAACAAGTCTCTGGGCAAGGCGCCCAAGCCTGTACTTCCAGCGAAGTGGAGGGCCGAGGCAGGAGGACCACAAGTTCGAGTTCAACCTGGACAATTTAGCCAGACCCTGTCTCAAAAAGGCTGCGGACGTAGCTCAGTGGTAGAGCATTTGCCTGGCATGTGCGAGGCCCCGGGTTCCATTCCCAGTTCCTCCAACAAACGTCCCCACACGCACCAAGCCTCAGAAGTACAACACCACCCTCCGGTACTTCACCCTCCCGACCATCGGGCCGGGGCTCGGCGGGCGCACCTCGGCGGGGAGCTGCCCCTTGCTGCTGAGCGCACCAAAGGGGCGGCGGCCGAGTGCACGCGGGCAGCCCCACAGACACCGGGCGTAGGCCTCGTGTGTGACTTAAGTTCCTAGGAGCCACGGAAAGAGGAAAACGCCACTTCGACAGGCGGCCAACACCGCGCTACCGTCGACGGGGCTGTGTTCCGCCCGCCCGGCCTCCGGGTCTGGCACGGACCAGCCCTCGCTTGGAGGCCGCGGGGATGCTCGGAAGCGGATCCGAGCCGCGCCACCGCCCGCTGACCCCGCAGGAGCCAAGGCCTTAAGACCGCCGCCTGGCCCACCCCGCCGAAGCCGCGCCAAGCACTGAGGGTGCCCACCTGTCGGACCCCACGCCTCTGCAGGCGCTGCACGGGCCGCACGCGCGACGGAAGTTGCGTCAGCCAGGCTTCCTGCCGGCAGTCCGGGGGCGGTGCCCGTTATGGATACGCGGTCCAGTCAGAATGCAACACGAGGGGTTTCGGAGGCGCAGGCGCAGCTCCGCCCCGACCAGGGACCCCGCCTCACTGCCACGTTCGACGGAGGGACACGCAGGGTGCGCGCGAATCTTGGCCAATCAGAAGCCACAGAGTCCGGACAGCCGAAAGAAGTAGCCATTCCCGACCCGCGAAAGGTGTGGAGGAATATCACCAGTCAGAAGTCGAGGGAGAGAAAGTTCTCCGCTCGGAGCCAATCAAAATCTGGAGAGCAGAGCGAGCGCGAGCGCCGCGGCCAATCCTGGATGAGGGCGAGGAAGGACTCCGTAGCGTTTCCGACTCCGGAGCCGGACCTAGCATGGGCGTCCAATCCGTGAACGGCGAGGGCGGGACCCGCAGCTCGCCGGCCAATTGGAGGTCCCCTAGGGGCGCGTGCGCGCGGCGGCTGGCGCGCGCGGCGGGTTATTGGGCGCGTCTCCGGACCAGGATTTATAAAGGCGAGGCCAGGACCGGCGCGCGCTCTCGTCGCCTTGGCTGTCCCGGCGGCGCCAACCGAACCGCCCCGCCCGCTCCGACGTCCGACATGCTGAGCCGCGCTCTGCTGTGCCTGGCCCTGGCCGCGGCGGCCCGGGTGGGCGCCGACGCCCCCGAGGAGGAGGACCACGTCCTGGTGCTGAGGAAGAGCAACTTCGCGGAGGCGCTGGCGACGCACAAGTACCTGCTGGTGGAGTTCTGTGAGTGGCCGGCCTGGCGGGCGGGGGGCGCCGCCGCGGTGCGGCCCTGCGCGCGGCGGGCCGGGTCAGCGGGCCTGCTGGCCGTGCTGGCCCGTGGCCGCGCCGAGTTCGGCCTGGCCCATCGCGGCCCGCCCCTCGCCAGGCGCGCCTGCTGTCAGCTCGCTGCCCCCGGCCGCCCGGAGGGCATCCTTCCTGCCCGGATTGGAAGCGTTCGCGTCCCGGGCTCCTCGAGAGTGGCTGCCCGGCGGAGAGCCAGGGAGCTGTCTTTGTGCCCGACGTCCACATGGCAGGAACCCTCGGTTAGCTGGGGGACGCTGGACGGACCTGTGTGAGCCGTGGCAGACCCAACAAGCCGGGCTCCAATCCGGGTTCGGCTCTGCTGATTACTCAGCTGGACTGACCCAGAAATGCCCAGCTCCTGCCCGCGCCACCCTTAACCTGCCCTGGCTTTCCTGTCGTGTAGCCAGTTCGTCTGAGGCTTTTGCTTGTTAGCAAGTATTTGGGCTCCCACTGTCTCTGGGCTGGGAACCTTATGCCACCACATCTGCTACCCTTCCTTGGCAGATTGTGTTATTCCCACCTATAAAGAACGGTTTAAGATGAGAATGTGAGAGGTGCGGACCTCGCACAGATGTGTGTCACATACTCATAAGCATTTTTTGGTTGGTGTAAGGGTGGGCCATCAAACCTTTGACTTGTCCTGGGTTCTTAAAGGGAAATCCTAGGGACACATTGGTCCTGATGGCCTGCAGGTTATAGGAAGTTACCAATCTAGAGGGTGTGTCTTCCTGTGCTGGTGGTGACGGAGCAGAACAGGGATGGTGTTGGTGTGTCGATCGTTGATGGCCTCTGTCCTGAAGTTGCCCAAGATCAGCAGCTATCAGCTCAGCCTTATGGGTTAGGAGGCCTTATCTTGGTGTGCAGATAAGGTTTTTATGAAGGGAAGAAGCAGTGGGACGGGATCAAGGGCTGCTTTCCAGTGTCCCACTTTCTTTTCCAGATGCCCCTTGGTGTGGCCACTGCAAAGCACTGGCCCCTGAGTATGCCAAAGCAGCTGGGAAGCTGAAGGCAGAAGGTTCCGAGATCCGACTAGCAAAGGTGGATGCCACTGAAGAGTCTGACCTGGCCCAGCAGTATGGCGTCCGAGGATACCCCACAATCAAGTTCTTCAAGAACGGAGACACAGCCTCCCCCAAGGAGTACACAGGTGTGACCGCGGTGCAGGCCTTGGAGGCGAACCTAACTGAAAGCTCATCCAGTAGTGTATCTGAGGTGGGGGCCCGTTTTCAGGGGCTCTGGGGGGGACTGTGTTTGCAACTGGTCCACACCTGAGGGTCCTGTGAGGAAGTTCTCTCCCTGGAAGACCCTCTCAGGTGGAGCATGCTATGTCTGATGGCCTCCTGGGGGGCCTGCTGGCAAAGCTTGTCTGGAAATGGACTAGAAAAGGATGACACGTGTGCTTGCAGTGTGCCAGCCACCACACTCAAGCATCCAGGCAGGCCCTCAGCTACTGTCCTGCCACCTCCAGGGCAAATGAACCACTGGTGGCAAAGAAATGCTTTCTGGTCTCTAAGATCAGTTCTGCAGAATGTCTGTCAGGCCCATGTGCGGAGCAGCCTCAAGCTGCCCATCCCGGGGTTAGCAGAAGTATCCCTTCAAGCAGTCTTATCCTAATCAGCATCARCCACTCTGGTTGCCTCACTAGTAGACCCCATTATTTTTTTGGTACTAGACATTGAACCTGGGGTGCTTAACCACTGAGCCCCATTTGGTGCCGGGAATTGAATTGTGGGCACTCTGTCGCTAAACCACATCCCCAGCCCCATTTTGTATTTTATTTAGAGACAGGGTCTCACTGCTTAGCACTTTGCCATTGCTGAGGCTGGCTTTTTAGTTTTTATTTTTTAGTTGTTTATAGACCTTTATTTGTATGTGGTGCTGAGAATCGAGCCCAGTGCCTCACACTTGCCAGAAAAGTGCACTATTACTCAGCCCCAGCCCCTGGTCCCCACTTTTCAATGTGTGTTTAATCTTGCAATAGGGGGTGCCTTGTCCAAAGTTACCGTCATTCTCCACCAACACTTAGGTTTTGCAGATGAGACAACTGCTCCTAAATCCACTGGTAACTGCCAGCTCAGCTTTTTGTAGGCACTTGGCTAAAGAATCCTTGTCATTCTCGGGTGGAGCAGCACTTTCCCAGGTAGTCACACCCCAGAAAAGGAGGGGAGAGCAGTTTGTTGGCCTCCATCTGGCGGGAGCAGGCCTCTTTCTTATCCCTGTGTGGCCTCCTGGCCTCCTGGATGGCATGCAGACACATACTCTTTCTCTAGTTCTTACCAGTCAGGGAARTGGGTAAGGCTGGACTTGGAAATAACTGGCCCACCTGGGAGTGTCAGAAAGTCAAGTTGAGCCTGTTTTCAAGGAAGGAGAACTGGCGTGGAGGTTGACATAACTAACCACATCTCAGGACTGCGGATATAGCTCGGTTGGTAGAGTGCTTCTCGCACGCACAAGGTCCTAGATTTGATCCTCAGCCTCCCCCCCACTTCGCCAACACACACACACACACACACACATAAAAAAAAAAAGCCATATCTCCATGACTTAGCTTGGTATGAGAGTACTGTGGGGAGAAAGTATATGTGAGTTTAATGAAAAAAGTTTTTTAAAATATTTTTATTTTAGTTATTGGAGATTGTTGAACCCAGAGGCACTTTATTACTAAGCTATATTCCCAGCCCCCACCTACCCACGTTTTGTTTTGTTTTTGTTTTTTTTTGGGGGGGGGGGGCATGGTCTTACCAAGTTGCCTTGGCTGACTTTGAACTTATGGTCCTCCTGCCTCCATCTCCCAAGTTGATGSGATTACAGGTATGTGCTATTGTACCCAGCAGAGTTTAACCAATTTTAATGTCCAAAAAAATTTAGAAAATGCAAGGAATTAGAGAAGAAAATCCTACCTCCCAAGGATGACACTCTTCCCTTCTTTAAGCATAACTGTGGTCTCAGGAAGTGGGTGGCGAGGGTATAGACCTACCTGTGGAGAGAACAGCTTGTTCTAGGGGTCAGTCAGGTGTCCTCAGCCTGCTGGGTGGAGCTCAGGTGAGAGGGTGCCAGGCATGGTAGGGGCAGCCTGTCTGACTCTGGAACCTGCCTTTGTTGGGGTGCAGCTGGCAGAGAAGCCGATGACATCGTGAACTGGCTGAAGAAGCGCACGGGCCCTGCTGCCACCACGCTGCTCGATGGTGCAGCTGCAGAGTCCTTGGTGGAATCCAGCGAGGTGGCTGTCATTGGCTTCTTTAAGGTAGAGCTTCAGAACTTGTGATCTGCTGTCACTTTTGAAGGAGGGGTCCCCATGGCTTGGACACTGCAGTGTCAGCTTTGCTGCTGTGCCAGACAGGCACCTAGGTATCGGCGTGCAGCACCTCTTGGTTTCCTTCCTTTACAGGATGTCGAGTCAGACTTGGCCAAGCAGTTCTTGCTGGCTGCAGAGGCCATAGATGACATACCATTTGGGATTACGTCCAACAGTGATGTGTTCTCCAAATACCAGCTCAGCAAAGATGGGGTGGTCCTCTTCAAGAAGGTAAGTGGCCCAGGGCAGTTCAGGCGTTGGTCTGCAGGGGGTGGTGTTGCTTTTCTTACTGCTGGAGGCCTGTGGTTATCGGTGGCCTTTGGACTTTGGAGTCTTTGGAGTGCAAGGCCTTTGGCCAGCCTCCTATAACAGCCAATGTTCTGGACCTCCTAAAGGACACAAGGGGAGTTGCTTTTTTTTCTTTTTTTTTTTTTTTTTTTTGTACCAGGGATTGAACCCAGGGTGCTCTTAACCAATGAGCCACATCCCACCTTTTTTTTTTTTTTTTTAATTTTGAGGCGGGGCCTTGATCACTCACTGAAACTGGCCTCAAACTTGGGATCCTCCTGTCTCAGCCTCCATCATGCCCAGCATTAACCATGCCCAGCATAGTTAAATGGCCAATTTGGTGACATTAATGGTGGTCGCACTGCCGTGCCACCATCACTGCTGTCTACTCCCTGGGTATGTTCCCACTGGACAGACAAAGCTGCAGTTCCTGGGCCTCCCACCTTGGAAACTGTTGATTCTGACCCTGTCCTTTATCTTTGTAAGCCAAGTGTCCTTGAACCGAGTCTGCCTATTACAGGGATACAGCAGGCTCCTCGTTGCCCGTTGTTGCCTGTGGGTTTGCCTTCTCCCTGGGGGTGGGATGGCACAGAGCACCCCTGCTCTTGGAGCACATCTGTACCTAGGTGTGTGTGCTCCTGGGTTAATGCCAGCCAGGTGGCAGAGTGCACAGGGAAGAGGGAGAGGAAGCTGTATGAGAAGGAGACCACAGGAGCAGAGT